ACGCATCGATATGCTGTTTTACAAAAAAAAAAGACATATATTAGTGAATTACATTAATTTTTTAAAAAAATTAATCAAAATCATATATAAGACAAATATAAGACTTACCTCCCCATCGAAATAGCCACTGTCTTCAACCTCTAATAACACACCCCACCAAGACCGATTAAGCAACAAATACATCTCATCGTTGAGTTTGCTTATGTCAGTGTAACACCCTTGGCTCCGCTCATGTAGATAAAAATCAACTGCGGTCTTAGCCCAAAGGGTATTATCCAGAATTATTTCCGGTAGTTGTCTCCTCTCCACTTCAGATACCGGAAGGGTACTTGCCGGTAACTCATACGAGAGCCAACTCTCATCCATCATGTCCGGCAACGGTGGGAGCCTCTTGAACGATTGGAGGGGACTCTTGAGGGATGACAGGTGAGTCGGGCTTCTTCTTGCGGAGTCTTCGCACCATTGGGGTGAACGGAGACGTAATAGCACGTGCACGCCGTCTGATGCGTGAACTCCGTCGTGCAAGGAAACCCCGACGTAAAGCATCCACCTTATCAGGCCGCTAAAAAATTAATACATAAATCAGTAAATAAACAGACATGATATTAAACAAAGACAAATATGTTTCAAACTTGCATTGTATTCACCCAAGTCATTATTCTATCATAGTTCACAAAATGCATCAGATAACATTCCAGAAGTAAGCACTTATATAAACATTTAAAAGGACAACATATATAAACATTCAAGAAGAAGAATAGTTTGCTTTCGCAACACGAAACTTACTTTCGCAACGCGAAAATGACTATCGCAACGCGGAAATGACTATCGCAACGCGGAAATGGCTATCGCAATACGAAATGAAAATCGCAACGACAAAATCGCAATGCGAAATGAAAATCGCAACGACAAAATTGCAACGCGAAACACAAATCGCATTGCGATTTTCATTTCGCGTTGCGATTTTCATTTCGCGTTGCGATTTTATCATTGCGATTTTCATTTCGCATTGTGATTTTGTCGTTGTGATTTTCATTTCGCATTGTGATAGCCATTTCCGCGTTGCGATAGTCATTTTCGTGTTGCGAAAGTAAACTATTCTTCTTCTGCAAATTGAAACTTGAATGGATTTCATTACTTCAACCAAAAGACAAAAACAAAACCAAAAACAAATACTAACAAAAACAGTTTAGCAGTATTGGTAGCAACCGAATGAATTTATTAAGCAATCTAAGTGAAATGGTTAATCTAAGTGAAATTACGAGTAAATTTATCATCAAGTTAAATATGAAAAATCTTAAACTTACCTCGTTGCGTAGAGTATGAACCTCATTCTGCAATGATGCTACCATCTCACGTAGAGCGGCTACCTCACCACGTAAAGCAGACACCTCAACACGCCATGCACCATCGTCTTTGCGTAAAGTACCGACCTCCTCACGCAAGGCATTGACCTCATCACGTAACTCTCCTAACTCATCCCGTGGAGGTGCAGAACATGGAGATAAACATCGTGGCATCTTTTCCGGTTGCCTATCTTGCGGTGATGGTGGAGAAGAGGCTCGATGATGTGATAGAATAGGTGATGGCTGTCGTTGTGGAGGTGTATAGTCGGGTCGATCAGGTGATGGCTCTGGGTGAGGTGATAGCTCTGGGTGAGGTGATGGCTCCCGAAGTGGAGGCTGCTTATCATCCGTACCATCAAAAAAACGCTTACTAGCTTGCCACCAATCAGTGGCAAGCTCAGCTTCCGTGGGTGTCAGCCTCTGTAATGGAGTGTTGGCCTCCTAACAATATAAAAGCTCAAACAAAGTTAAATGTGTACTAGTAATAACTTGTTTATAAACATATGGTAGTATTTATGTTAACTTACATTATTTATTGTCGTATACCGTAGTAAATCTTCCCATTGCAAGGTTCGTTTCCTCTTCCAGGAAATAGCCCTGGGAATATCATTTGAAGTTTTTATTGCATATGTCTTCATGGCAGGAAAGGCCTCAAATATCCAAATCTACAAACAATATAATAACAAACATTAGTAATTGTTAAATAATTACTTATAATTTTGGAAACATTATATAAAAATTCTTACCTTAAAGGCCCAAATAAAGCCTGTCAAAGTGTATTTGGAACCATCGTCATGCAAACTTTTTCGATCATCCAAGGCAGACAATAACTTATTCCATGTAGCTTTCCATAAATACGAGCCCCACGGAAACATGTTCCACGCATTTAGGTCTTCTACCAATTTGATTAGATCATTCGAAATAGATTGTCTGGCCTCTCTGCCTAAAAAGTCGGCATGCAAAAGTATTAGAAGGCATACTCGGACAACATCGACGTCATCCATCCGAGTAAAACCATCTTTCTTATTCAATAATATCGTCAGGTCTTCCACGTGTAGATTCGGCCTCTCCAGCTCAGGAAAAACCCGGGATAACCATGATGGGCGGGTAATGTGTCTAGTGTACCGACCTACATCATCGTGTCCGAAGCGTAGACCGGTGATTAAGCAAAACTCCTCCCGCCCAAAACACGTATACGCCGGTGGAAAATCAAACCATATCTCTTCATCACGACGTTGTATAGTATCTGGTAGATCCCTAGTCATGGTTTGAAGAAACAGGTGTGTCAACATCGCATCTCCACCGGGATGTTGTACTTTCAGCCATGGCCCGAAGCAAGTATCCTCAAACATTTTTCTTTGTGCAGGTGAAAGCTTCGACGCAATTGTTTTGGCCAGGCTGACTTTATTTCTTAAGGTCAATTGAGTCGAATAACAGTTCTACAAAAACAATAAACATACTAAGTTAGATATACCAAAAACTACACTGTGAAGATATACCAAAAACAATAATAAACATAAAGAGTAGTAGTTTATTCTTCAAACTTAAATTTGCAACACTGTGAATTTCTTATTTGTCTTTGTTTTTTGGTTGAAGTAATGCAATTCATTCAAGTTTCAATTTGCAGAAGAAGAATAGTTTCTGAAAATAAAAATCGCAACACGAAAATGACAATCGCAACGCGAATTTGACTATCGCAACGAGAGAATAAAATTACGTTGCGATTTTGTCGTTGCGATTTTCATTTCGCGTTGCGATTCTCGGTTGATTTAATAAGCAATCTAAGTGAAATGGTTAATCTATTATTGAAATTACCAGTAAACTTATCATCAATTTCAATATGAAAAACCTAATAATAATGCAAAAATTTCAAAAAGAAAATAATTAAAAAAACTAACCCTCGTTGGTTGATTTGGTTGATTTTCCATTTCTGATTGTGAGGGTGGCTCTGAGAGATGGAGATAGACGGATTTCGCCGGAGATGAGGACGGATTTCGTCGGAGATGGGTGAGAGAGTGAGAGATGGAGATGAGACTGAGTTGTGATTTTAGGTTTTAGGTTATGAGTTGCGATTACAGGATATACTATGGACGGTTCAGTGTTCCAATATATTAATATTCGTGTTTGGAATTTGAAAATAAAATACGCTTTGTGATACTAATGGCGCTTTGAAAATCGCATTGCGATTATGTATTATCTCGTTGCGAAAGTCAGTATTGCGTTGCGAAATTAAGTATCGAGTTGCGAAAGTCAGTATCGCGTTGCGATTTTGTATTATCGCGTTGCGATAGTCAGTATCGCGTTGCGATTTTCTAAATTCGCATTGCGATTTTCCAAATTCACATTGCAATTTTCAAAATTCGCATTGCGATTTACTTATTCGCATTGCGAATTGGGAAAATCGCAACGCGAAATTGGAAAATCGCATTGCGATAGTCATAATCGTGTTGCGAGTCTGGAAATTGATTTGCGATAATGGAGATCGCGTTGCGAATTAACGATCGCATTGCGATTTTGTTTGTCATTTTGGCAAATCCGGAAAAAGTTGGTTAAAATCGTATATTATATGGGATTTTTGGTCACTGAGGTTATTTTCTCTTTATTAAATTAGCTAACTCTATTCTCATATGTAATAGGTTAAGGGGAGGTAGGTTAGTAGGCTGCCCCAAAGTCAGGTTGGGAGTAACTTTCGTAGGAGACCTCCGACAATCAGAATTATGAATTGCCTACCGTGAGACTCGATCCCACAACCACAAGGTTAAAAGCCTTGCGCTTTGAGTATAATTTATTAATCATATAATAACTAATCAATTGTATTAAATAAAAGGGTGAATTAAACTGTCAATTTGCTCACTGAACTTTACAAATTTAATCATTTTGCTCACTCTATCGTTAACTTTTTAACAGCGTTATGACGTGACACAAGTATCAAAACGACTTTGCTTTGAAAAACTAAAATATATGCCAAAACGACGTCGTTTATAATCTTATATCTAAAGTACGGTGAGTAAAATAGAAAAGAGAATAAAGTTTAGGGAGGAATGGTGTTATTTACCCTTTTTCCTTCTTTTCTTTATTTTCTCTCTATTGACCACCATATTCAGTCCCAAATTTCATGGTCGGTCCATCTTGACCCATTGAGTCTGAATATGGTGGTTGTTTCACCATAAAAATGTTCCAAAATATTTGAATCTCGACTGAAACGTTTCGACTTATTCACTTTCAATCTCAAATTCATGGACTTCGAAACAATTTCTGAAAAAATGAAGGTCGGATTCAGACTCACAATGTTGAGGTGAAACGACCTATGAAATTTGAAACCGAAAGACCACCATCTACAGCGGTCAACGATGGCCGACGATAACATCCGACCTCCTTCTATTTTTATTTAATATTTTTAATTATTTTATATTAAAAAAAAATGCTACATCATCAAGACGTTAGAGAGAAAACGGGGGAGTGAGCAAAATAATTCAGTTTGTAAGTTCAGTGAGCAAATTGAAAGTTAGATGAGAAAAATAGGAGAGAGAGTATAATTCAGTGAGGAACGATGTTATTTACTCTAAATAAAAATATCAAAAGTATCTAAAATTCAAATAATATCTAAGTAAAGCAACAAACTATAAACTGAAAAGGGCCTTTTTTCAGCAATACAAGCACAAAGGTACACAAATACCATATGCCTGGAAAGTTATACATATTTAACTAAAATCAACTGAAATTCTCACAATCATACAGCTTTGGAATTTATGCTATATCAGTTTACAACAGACACAAGTCGAAAAAAGATTTAAGAAATAAACAGGCGGTCTCCGATACAAGGCAGCAGTTTGAGAAACAATTGCTTCAAGTTAAGAAAGTCGGCGTCTCCGACTAATCTTCCATATCATCCAATGTTGACCAGATCATCCTATCAAATACACATAAAAGTTCCCATGTCAGCAGCTACTAGAATAATAGTAACATGCTTAGGGGGAGGACCATGTGTGCCGTCGGAAACAACAAATTACCAGAATATGGAGAAAAAGAGGAGAACGACCACGTAGCCTAGCTTAAAAAGCCGCTGCTTCTTCTCCCAGGGAAGCGTGTTAAATATCTCCGTAACATCTGCTAGGTGTTTTTTCTGTGTGTAACTGATAACAAAAGAAAGCATGTACAATTTCAAAAGCACTCAACAAATTATATAACTTAATAGAGCAATACACAGATTTTCATTTCCCTGCAGATTAGACTTCAGATGCCCTGTGAACCTTGACGCTCGTACCCATGGTTGATATTATAAAGTAATTTTTATCATAATGTAATTCTCGAGTCCAACAAACTTGGGACTGATGAAATTTACTTCTTACCAAATTAAACCAAAAAGTCATTACTAAGTATGCCGATCAATCCCTCATGATCACTAAAACATTCTATTGTTTCAATCGATCAAGAGAATATTTCCCACAGCACCATACATGTTACGCTCAGCAGATGAATCACGCTTTTCTTTACAGTTAGTGCTTATAGCATGAGTCTTTAACCTAGGAGAGGCTGAAACGATAGCTAATAGAACAAACAATCGATACTCATATTCACCACAAGGAGGTTCACAGTACCAGCAAATTGTAGGCCATATAACACAAATTTTCCATTTTATGAAGTCCTAATGCTACCTTTTCATGATGCATGTTTTTGCACAAGTTAGGGTTTAATCCTACGAGACATAGGGTTGCAAGCTCGATATATAAAGGAACAGCAGGGAAGGAATTTGAAATTAAACAGTGAATCAAAACTAGGAAAACTATCATTTCCGTTCCTCGAAACAGTGTACATTAACAATAAACGGTAAAATAAGAAGATGAGAGAAAAACTTACAGTCTCACATTGTAGTATAAATATGGAGCACATATGAGTGACATAACCCAATGCCCCGTTGACAGAAGGAAAACACATAAAACTCCTTGGAGGATAAATTCCGGCAAGACCACTTTGTTTATCCGTGACGAAGAGTCATAAGGATTGATGTAATCGAACTCTAAATCAGCCAAGCACATGAGCTGCAGCAAAATTTTGAAGCTATTAAATCCCTTCAAACAATCTTCAGATGAATAATAACATCACTAAATAGCTTAACACGACAACGGTTTCCGTTGTTAAGCTTCTATAATTCTTTTATCAAAAGAAAAGCCCCAATAATCTAGTTCCTCAAAAGGAAAGGGCAGTGGGATAATATACCAAGAATCAGAACTTTAACCCCAAGCTTTTCTCTGGTAATTCATATCCCACCTTTTTCATTTTTATTTTTTTTGCAGCAAAATTCAATAAACCCAGATAAATGCATTCGAAATTTCCAACAATAACACACAAAGGCACAGTTTTTAGCATTTTAAGTGGTTCTCTTGCAATCAGATAGACGAACAGACTAACTAATCAATACCCAACAAGGAAATAGCAAAAGAATAATATAAAAGCAAAATTACGAGAAGACCCAGACATGGATTCTAGGGTTTATGAGTGAATTGACCTGATAAACAATGAGAACAAGAAGGGCAATGAGGATGAAGAAAGAAATAAGCCATATGAAGAGATCTCCCATGCCTCTCTTTATCTATTCTCCCCCCCTTCTTCCCTTATTTATCGCTTGGGATTTTTGATTCAGGTGATGACAGGAAACCCCGAGGACAGTAGAACCGAAACCTGAGTTCGACTCTGCCGGAGGAACGCTGTTGGCTTGGTCTGAAATTATGAAATGTCTGAAAGATCCGACCAAAACTAGCCTACAAAGGACTATTTGACTTCCAACACTTGAAAGGCCTGTATATTTGTTGTTGTACTTCCGGTATGATTTTAGAATAAAATACGTAAATGGTCATTAAACTATACATAAATTATTTTTTAGATGTTTTGAAAGTTATAAAAAATGGTCATCAAACTTATCACTATACATTAAAGAATTATGATAATTTTTTTTTATAGATTTAAGAAAATTTTTGCAACATATACGAATTTTAATAATTAATTTATAGTAATTCAATCAAATTTAATAATTATTTTATAATAATTAAATAAATTTAAAAAGTATTTTATAGTTTATAAAACCTTAGTAACTAAAGTGTCATTTCAATCTAATTTATGGTTAAATATGCATTTAGTAACTAAACTTTCAAAATTTTCAAAATAATATCTTTTTTGGATAAGTAGAATTTTTATTTATCCAAAAGGAAGCAGCAAGCTGCTACAAAATACATGACAAACAGCCTAGATTAGGCCCCAATTCAAGCATAACATCCTATTAACATCATCCAACCTATTCATGGAGCAACTATACAGTTTAATTCTAACAGCTTCTCTAATGCTATTTACAACTGCCTCAGCCGATCGAATCACGCCTCTAAAATGCATGTGATTACGCTCCTCCCAAAGAAAGTAAACAAAACCAGTCCATGCAAGCTTAAGAATGTGGACGAGAAGGGACTTACCCTTCAAATTCGATATCAGCCAATGCATGCCATCATCCCAGCTGTTAAGTGTCAGGGGTTGAAGACCACATTCTCGCAAAATGACATTCCATATCACCCTTGCAAAGGGACATTCCAAAAACAAATGATCACTAGTTTCCGGACTGCCAGCACACAGTCCACAGACATTATCATTCTCTATGCCAAATCGAGTTAGCCTATCTTTGGTTGGCAAACGATCGAGTATCACCATCCATGCAATAATGAAAAATTTAGGGATATGAGATGGAAACCATATGAGCATGTGCCATCCGACCTTATCTCTCATAGCACGAATGCTACCCCAAATCCAATCACATTTGATCTGATACCAGGTAGTAATCGGGCTAAACAACCTCCTAGCCTCATCCCTCAACTTAATAAGCTTATTGAGGGTCCAACTGAAATGAGGCTTAGAATCAATATTCCAATAGTCAACAGATTTAAAGCAGTAATCTTTAATCCAGACTGTCCACAGAGAACCCTCACCAGCCAAAATGTTTTTTACAAGCATGAGGCAGCAAGCCTTACTCCAATCTGCTAGCTTCCTCAAACCCAAACCACCCTCAGACTTTAAGGCACAAATTTGTGTCCAGTTCACTCTAGTCCAGTTCACTCTAGCACCTCGCGCTGGCATGTCACAACTCTTCCAGAAAAACTGCATACAGAGTTTTTCAATATCAGTAACAACGCCTTTGGGAAGAATAATTTGTCTGCTCCAATAACCAAAAATGCTGAACAGAACTGATTTAATAAGCTGCAGTCTACCTCCAAAACTGAGTTTCCTACTAGCCCATTGATCAATCCTGCTTTTGATTCTAACAAGCAAAGTTGAGCAATCTTTACTGGTGAGTTTACGAATAACCAAAGGCACACCCAGATATCTAACTGGAAGCTGGCCAATTTTAAATCTAGTAGCATACTGAATCTGCTCCAAAATATTTATAGGCAGACCACAAGCAAAAAGTTCAGACTTCATAGCATTCAGTTTGAGGCCAGAAAGTTCATAGAATTTCTCTAGAATGCTAACAACCCCTAGCACCGAATCTAAGGATCCATGGCAAAACAAGAGCAAATCATCAGCAAAGCATAAATGGGTGAGGGGAGGTTCTCTTGCACTTAGGGTGGAATCTAAAGATGCCATTCATAGCAGCCATATTTAACAAAGAATAGAGGACATTCATCACAATCACAAAAAAGTAAGGGGATAAAGGGTCCCCTTGTCTGACCCCCGTAGCACCTTCAAAGTACCCAATCAAGCTACCATTTAGAGCAATAGAGTACCTAGGGGTTGTAACACATGCTTTAATCCACCTACAAAAAATAACAGGCAGCCCCATAACTTCAAGAACACCCAACAAAAAATCCCAGCAGACTGAGTCAAATGCCTTTTGCAAGTCAAAATAATATCTAACATTTAACTTTCGTTTCATTTTAATACCACACCATTAAAACATAATGCATTCAGTACCTAAACTATTAGTTTTGACCCGTTATAATACCTAAACTTTCATTTTTTTTTCAAAACTTAATATTAAATTTTAAATGGGTACTAAAATGAAACAAAAACTAAAATTTTTAAAGGTGAGATATTAAAATAAAATAAAAACTATAGTTTAGGTATGATTTTAAAAAATTAAAAGTTTATGTATTAAAACGAACAAAAACTAATAGTATAGATACTAAACATGTAATTTATCCCTAATTTATTGACTATTTGTATACTTTATTTAGAATTTTATTTAGAATTGGAACATGTAAAACAACACATATTCATAAGCTTAATGCACCATATGGCCCCTAACGTTTTCTTGTTTTCTCATTTTTGTACCTAAATTTGTTTTTATCTATAGTGCCCCCGCAACGTGAAAAAAGTTAACCATTTTACTGAAGAAATAAAAAGACAGTTTCAATACAAGTTATGCCAGTCATAGTGTGTCACATATTCATAAGCTCTCAACTATGTTTTTTTCTCAACCTGTACTTGAAGTTTTTTAGGTAAAGAAAAAAAAACCTATAAAGTTTACACATGTTTCCCAAATCACCCCTTGTTAAAAATTTGTTGACCAATAAAATCGTGCTAATCAACAGTGATATGACCAAGTCATATTCGTCCACTTTTAATAAAAACATAAATGACATGTCAAATCTTTATTTTATTTCTGTTTAGTTTAATTTTTAAAAAATATTTATTCCTTAATGTCCCACATAATCATACCATCTCTAAAGTTGGAAATATGACATCTCTTGAAAAGTACAATGCGACACTTGATGTTTCTTAATTCAATTTAATCTATTGGTGTAACTAAATTTTAGATTATGTTCCAATGTCAACATTTATAAACAGTTTGCCCCCTAAATTCTACCATTGAGGCTGATGTCTCTTCTTGCTCGAACAGTCAAAACCGAAGAAAACCCTATTTTATCTACCTGTTAGTAACCAGCCAGTTTCCTTTTACTTTATGGTGCCCTAAGCGAATTGCCATCCTTAAACCATAACCTCGCTTTCGGTTCAGAAATAGAGATTGGATTTGGAGGCATTGAAAGTATTACCTGCCAGTGCGAATCGACCAAAATTTGAGCTTTGCCGAGCACAGAGCCTATATTTTGAAACATTATTTGTCGACTCTTCCGAGACATTGCTATGGTTTTTCATATGCATTTACAAGATAAGATGATACAAATGATGGGTAAATAACAGAAGACCAATCCCAATTATAAAAAAATGGGGGGGGGACAATAAAAATTACATGATAATCAAGTAGTATAGTATGACTGATTAAGGTTGTCTTACTCTAATATCCTGATCATTTCAAGCAAACCAAGAATTTCCAGAGCCGACGCGTTCTTCTCACGATTTTGCTGAGTTTTCGAGCAACGAAACCCGGAACCAAATACGCTGGATGCGGAACGGCAGGAGGAGAATTCGGTCTCGGCGGATTGATTTCCGATACAAAAGATGCACCATTGCTACTATGGCCACTGCTATTCTTTCTAAGATAAAAGCTTCGGCTACCAGCATCCCCAATTGACATTGATTTGTCCAAGCCTGTTCACCCAAAGACAGAACAAAAAAAAAACTGTCTATAACATGTTTGAAGAACATTATCAGCAATCAAAATGGGGATCAGAATGTAAAAGGAAAAAAAAAAGAATCATGAGGCTGCTTACTTTGAAGGCTAAAATAAGAATGATGCAATTCGAGCCCTGAACTAGAATCAAGCTTAGGAGTTCTCCCTTCTTCAACATACTTGTTCACGACAAGCTTTATAGTGTCATCGACACTGGACCCCAATTTGACCATGGTCCGAACCGGTCCTGGACTTCCTTCAACTGATACATTGATTACAACCTTAGCATCTTTGTTGTAAACATGCGTCCCAAACTTCACAAAAACAATTGGAGAATTAATATCTAAACTGGTTGACTGGCTTTGAATCCCAATTGATTAATCGAGTCTGGATTTTACATACCTCGAAACCCAGTCTTAGAGAAGAAGAAGGGGAGCAAAGAGCCGACAAAGAAGGAGACGAAGCGAAGACGTCCGTACAAGTTTGAGGCCTGAATAAAGGGCCTTCCTCCGTTTCAGACCCCAAGAAACCACTCCTTGTTTGTTGATCTTCAGTGAAACTGCTCCAAAGACACGGCTCCGATGCAGATCGTTTCAGGATCTTGCCGCACTTGGACGACTTTTTCAACGATCGGCGATGTGGGGGAGGCGTCTGTAGGCGTGGGGAGGACGACGGATGTGGTAGCCGTGGTCGCCGGCATCTGGGAAGCCGTCTTCGGAGACACTTCTCGGACATAAAATGAAAGGGGGGCGATCAGTTGTCTTTGATTTTGCTTTTTTGGTTTTTATGATACGTGTGTTGAGAAACAAGAGGGAACGGGAGTTGGATTAGAGAGGTGGTTGTTGTTGGCAGTTTGCTTGGGAGTTGGAATAGAGAGAGGGGTACTGTAATCTACCTGGTATGTTTGTTTGCAAGATGTTTCCTACCTTGTCTTGGAGTTGGAATAACAATGGTTTTTCTTCTCCCTTTTTTCCCTCCTTTATTACTTCCTTTGGGTCCGGTTTTTCATGTCCTTGTTCCTTGCGACAAGTGTAATTCGATTTCCGCGATTATCAACATTTATTTAAAAATTATTATTATTTTTTATTAATATGAAATAAATATAAGATAATATTTATTTTTTTTTAAAAATTAACTTTTAAACTTTTTGATATTAAGAGTTCACATTTTTAATATTCATGGTATTCGAATTCGTGTCTTCAAAAAATTATAATAATTCTTTTGTGACTGAAGTCACTTGGTTCGTGTCAAAACTCCATTAAATTCAGTCTAATAATTTTAATGATTAAAGAAACACTAATCTCTTTAAAAGTTATAAATTTAAGTGGTTATATTTAGGATGTGTACAGGGTCGTGGTTAGGTTGTCGGAGTCCTGTGCAAATTCTTATAAAGGACTCCTATTTTCTGGATATATTTGATTTCGGAGACCCTATTTTTATGCTTGCTAATGGTAATAACTTATAGATATACTCGATTTCGAGCTCCTATTTTTATGCTTCTTAATGATAACAACTGATAGATATACTCGATTTCGAGGTCCCTATTTTTTGGGGACCCTGCACGGTCGCTCACCCTGCACACCCTCAACCACGCCCCTGTATATATTATTAAAGGTTAAAAATTTCTGAATAAATATTATATCATAATCATCTTATAAATTATGTAACACATATTATGTAATCACCCATATACTTCTTTACACTTTTTATATGTTATATATATATCATACAAAGTGAATTAATTTGACTCAAATTTTAAAATTAATTTAATAATTATTAAATATTTTAACTTATTCATGTAACACTCCAACCCGTACCTGACCCGGATACGAGTCCGAGATGTCACATTAACTTTTAAAATATTCTTACAAAATATCAAAACATTTGAACTCATTTTAAGAAAATACCACAATATTCTATTAAATTATGTTTCAGTATAAAAATTCAAGTCAAAACATAATTATGAACAGTACTATACAGTATGAACAGTACCGTGAACAGTACCGAATTCTAAAAACTTTCCAAATTGCTTCAGGGGTATCAATACCCCTGCTATAGGTACCAATACCCTGCTACAGTCCTGCTGCAGTAACTTCGGCAAAACATGTATAAACTCATAAAAATTTAAGCTTTCATCAGTATAAAATTTCCATTTACATATATACGTTTCAAACATTACAAAACTCGATCATATGATCTTACAAAACTAATTTAGAACATATCAGAGTCAAATTTTTATATACATGCCAACCAATATCAGTATTACAAAATACATACTATTCAATTCTTTTCTGATCTGATCTTTGGAAAGGAGGAACTGACATATCTTGCATAACTTTTATCAATCTTCCTCTTCTCGAAACCTACGTGTGAAACAATCACACGCTAAGTCATAGACTTAGTGAGGCATATAAACATATAATAAAAATCATAAAACATTTCATATATCAAAATGCATACATGCTCATATACTATCATATATCATTTATAAAGAAATACACTTAACATCATATAATTCATGCAATACAATTCATATAACTAAAAACATTTATCCTTTCATATAACCAATACATGAATCTTGTAATTTATTTCATATAACAAATCACATATACATATCACATTCAGTATATTTGTTTAATCTCTTTATTAGCCCATATACACATGTGAGAACTTAAGATATGTGAGTACATTGAGGTTACGCACAAATGTTGTCACCACAGCTCGTATAAATTCTCACTAGGGGCACTGAATATTTGTCTCGAAGGACCGCGTAGAAATGTCCCGAAGGACCACATATCACATATATCCCGAATGACCACTCCTTAAGAACCATATACATAATACAATGGACCAAATAAGTGTACCGAAGTACCACATACATGTTCCACGAAATTACATATATGTCCCGAAGGACCACGTAGAATTGTCCCGAAGGACCGCGTAGACCCTCGACTCTTGGCATGCCAACTATACCTATAGCTCTCGTATCATATAACATGTGAATTTTTCTTATGCTTCTTATATTCATGTACTCATATCATTGCTCTTATGATCACATATCACATGTGCATATAATCACGTAGTTTACTTTCATGTAACCATATACATAATACAATAGACCAAATAAGTGTACCGAAGTACCACATACATGTTCCACGGAATTACATATATGTCCCGAAGGACCACGTAGAATTGTCCCGAATGACCGCGTAGACCCTCAACTCTTGGCATGCCAACTATACCTATAGCTCTCGTATCATATAACATGTGAATTTTTCTTATGCTTCTTATATTCATGTACTCATATCATTGCTCTTATGATCACATATCACATGTGCATATAATCACGTAGTTTACTTTCATGTAATTCATGTCACTTTTCATATGATTTCATATTCATATGCCACATAGCTCGTATCACTTTGCATGGTTTCACATAAACATATATATCATATCTTGTTCACATATATTTCCCATATAACTCATACCATTTGATTAAAGTCTTATTCTTATATCATCTATATTCATTCACTTAATCTCTTATGTTCATATATCACATATTGCATATTCATGTAATCATATAGGTCATGTCGCATATAATAACATATACTTATTTTCATATACTCATGCACACATAAGAATCACATCAATCATATAACATTTTAGGAGTCACTTCTTACCGTAGTAACTTCGTCACTGACTCATCGCAAGCCAATGTTTGATCAATAACATAAGTACAATTAAATTGCACTAACCTTAGCCTTGTTTGCTTTGACTTGATCCTAATTCTTTGATTGTTTTGGAACTTGTTTAGGCTCAATATCTACATAAACATCATTTCTGAGATGATTATCAGAAGCCTAAACCTTATAACTTGATGTTAATAACTTAAGCTAGTTTAATGACCCAAAATTCTATTTTTCCTTTAGGGGTATCGATACCTCCCCCTAGGGTATCGATACCCTTATAGAAATCTGTAAATTTTCCCCAGAAATCATTGTTCATGCACGAAAATTCACTATTTCAACTTCAATTCCTCATGTTTCATTCCCTTTCATATTCTTAACTCAAATATACATACTTAAACTAATTTCTACTCATTTATCACATCTTAAACCTCAAAATCTTCTCATCTTTATGAACTTCAAGAATCATACCCAATTTTCAACATGTTTAAAATTCAATTCTAACACTTAATACTTCTTAATTAAGCTGATGACAAGTCAAATTTAACTTCAAATTCAACTCATTAACTCTATTTCAAGATTTCACTCAAGAACTCCAAATCTTTAATCTTCCCTAACTCCTTTATCTTTTGATTTTAAGATAACTTAAGCTTTCCTTAAGCTTAGTTATAATCTAATGATCAAAACCCAAACTTTAAATCAACAAATAACCAACAAATAAAGAAACTCTTACCTTTTTCTAGCTTCCACGGGGAAGAGGAAGAAGAAGGGAGAAGAAGAAGAAGAAAGAGTTTTAGATAACTCTCTTCCCCCCCCCCCCACGTGATTCATTCATATAAGGGGGTAATATCTTTCTTGTCAAATGTTCATTTTGCCCTTTAATTCATTTGATAATTACTAAAAACTTTTATGAAATAATTCTAATTAAATCATTGAACTATTCAACTATTCTACTTTAATCACCAAATTATGAAATTTTACAATTTGGTCACTAACCCGGTATTGAGGATGTTACAATTCAAGTCTTAATTTATAGCTCGAATATTATTTAATTATTTTTAATTGTTTTGAGTTTATAAAATTATAAGTCATAACTTTTTAACGTCAAATCAAAAAAAAACTAAATCGAATTGAATTTTGTTCACCTCTTAGATTTATAGTAACAAATAAATCTTTTATATATATGTAATCAAATTATTATATAGTAGAACCAAACGACTTCAGTGATTAATGAATTTGTTATTATCTCTTGAAGTTTCAAGTTCAAGCATTACGTATATGAAAAATTAAGTGTCTATTATTAAATGATTTAGAATTTTTGAGTAGATATTATTTTATATTTATCGTAAATTTATCGAAAGAATCAAGATAATTACAAATAAAACAATTAAACTTTTATATAAATTTTCATAAAAAAATAATAAAAATAATAAGTTTGTATTCAATAAGGCAATACGCCTAACTTATGGTTAAATATAATATAAATATAGGCGTATTATAATTAATTTGACAATGTAGCTTTACGCCATGGGCATGAGCCATTTTCCTGTGAGGTGGGAACCACTTGCAATGTCTAGTCCACCGCCCGTCACGTTATCCCGAGATTATTAATCCTTTAATTTAGAAGGGGAACGGTCCAATGCCAAGTTTCTTAAAGTGTCCTCTTGACTCGAAATTATTATAGAAATAACCCATGGAAATGGGGATCTGAAGTTTGGGGATGAAATACGAATGCAAGTATAACAGTACATGCTGTTTTTAAAAACATAATCTTATTTAGTATTAAGGAACGTAACATCACTAATCAACCTTTATTGATCAATGTCGATTTTACACGACTGCTCTTCCCTTTTACATAGTCCGTTCTCTTATTGGAAAAAGCTCGTCACCAACCACTGAGGCTTCACGCCTAAGCAAAGACAGGAATAAAGAGGAAAGCATTGGCCTATATCTTGGCTCGTGGAGTGTGAAAGGCCAATAAAGTCCAAGCAAATATGATTAATTCAGCGTTTTACACTTTGATTTTGAGTAATTTCTTAACCCTTTGAACTTCCAAAATGTCCTCCCCAGTGTATCATTTGTAATATAACACATTATTTTTCAATTTTATACTCTTTATTTTTTTATAATTAGGAAAAAATATGATTAGAATTCAGAATAA